TCCCAACATGAAGACTGCCTCAGAACAGTTTGTCACGGAGTTTCAAGCACCGGCGTGGCTCTGTGGTAGAATACTGGGCTGGCAGGCAAGGGACCCAGGTTGGAATCCCATTGTGTCCTTGGCGTTTTTTTATTTATTCAGTTATTTCTTATTTTGTGCAATAATGAATATAGAGACCGGCGGCGGCAAACAACTACAGTGTAAGCGACCCTTGTTTCGATCTCGTAATAGCTTTCACTGTGAAAAATTTACAGAAAAGATACGGCAACATCAAAACGACGATGTACATAGCTTCAACGCTTCAGGAAATGCTCTTGCAGAACACCGTGAAAAGATGGACCATCACATCAGTTTCAACACTGCCCAGGTCATCGACACTGTAGGTGGCCACCTCAAAGGACAATTCTTGAGTCTCTTAGTATATACAAACACCTAAAAATATTGACCACTCAACTGGGACTCTGGCAAGCGTATATGTACACGGTCTGCTGAATCAACAGAGAAAACAATGCAGGAACAAGAACGGCGGGAAGGACGGTGGGGAAGGGGACACCACTAAGAAAAATTGGCCGGACAGTCACTCCAGAAAAATAAACTGAATAGGTCTCGAAACAAAGAACCAGTTTTTAATTTTAATATCAACAACTATAAACTAAAGGTGGCTGGAGAGTGCTTTGTTTGTACAAGTAAATACTTGAATACTGCGTTCGCTGGCAATGTACGGCATTCTTGCATACCGAGGTTTCTAGTTTTTATGGTGCAATGTCTCTGAAGTAATGCAAGAAATATTTTTAAAAATGCATACCTAGGACAATCAACCACTCTGGGTTCTGCGTCCTTTCTTTGTCAGACTGTGGATCCCGTAGAGATGCCATGTCAACAGAAGCTTCCCTGCTGATCTCCTCACTCGTCCGATGGCGTACAAACAGCGGCTTTCCCCGCCACTTGAAGGTAGCATTCTTTCCTTCCGGAATTTCACTCAGCTTCACCTCAATCTTGGCCATGGCCAGGACGTCAGCAGAGGCAGCCAGGGCCATCACAAATTTTGTCACGAGGGACTTGGCAGCGTAGGTGCCCCCCACAGCTCCAGCTGCGTACAGGTGCAACTATAAATTACAAATATTCCTTGCCACTGCGTACAATTATGCCTCAAAATAATTTCCAATACTTAAAATACTTCTTCAGGCTTTATCGAAATTGGCATTCAAGTCAACCATGGAATTAGAATGTGAAATGCCGACATAGTTCTAACAATTTTTTAGACTAAACAAGCACACTTATGCATTGCATCTTTTCTGTTTGGTCTGCGGAATATTTATTCTCAAGTACAGCATCAATTGTTAAGCAGAGTTTTTCATAGCCCATGCAGTATAAATTGTGCGGGCGTACGCGTGCAACATGCGAGTACAAAATGTAACAGAAAAAAATTCTGAATCGCATCAAAAATAACAGAAACACGATGCAATGCACCACTATTTCATAAAGCATGCTCTTAACGAAGTGCCAACACCAAATATTGAAGGCGAGATAACTTGGATATATTTGTGTGGACACACACTCATAATCTACAAATATCGGCCGTTAATATAGCCTAGCACATATTTGAAACCCAATTTTAAAGGCAGTGTCGCACAACTCACCTCGTGACATTAATGCAGGTTTGTTTTTAATGTAAAAAAATGACAATCACCTGCATCATGAGCACAATGGCTGCCACGCTGCTTGCAAGCACTTGGGAAAGGGGGAACACCTCCATCATAGACTTGCATGGGAGTATAAAGGCTGACATCCTAGCCTTAGTCATGAATTTTTGGAAGGTCATGAACATTGTTACGGGGAAGACAGACCCAGAAGGCACAGACTTGAGGAAAGATGCGTATTCACAGCTGGTTATTTAAGCACAGCTGCCAATAAGAAGAGCTCACACCAGTCCATACGCTGTCCTTTTCTTCCTCTTGCTGATCGCTATGCCACTAGTACGTAGGTAGCAATATTTACAACATCCTACAGTCGATTATGGCAGCTCCAAGGGAGTCTTCATTAAACAAAGTTGTCAAGGCTGTGCTTCTGTGCCCACGGTTTTATGTGCTCCCCACTGGGTCCCACCTCTCTTGGCACTCTCTGAAATCGAAACTGTGATTGGGAACTATAAAAACGTCTTCAAATAATTGACTGTCCTGTGCTTAAGCAAACAAGGTTTCCAGATAGGATAAGTGGAGAATTTACTATTACAGCAACAGAATAAAACAAGATGTAAAATTTTTGTGTCAGTACTCCTTCCTGCTAGTGTGAGGTGATATTTGTCCATTTTTAACTAGCCAGAAATTCATGTATCACATCAGTATATCTTATCATTGTTCAGCCCTCAACAAAAAAAAAATTATTTCTGCGTGAATGAATGTTTCATACATATTCCCCTGAGCAAAAAAAAAAAAAAAAAGCCTGCAGATGAGGGTTCAATTATAAAGTCAATTTTTTTGCCAACAATAAATCCAACTTGAAATCGGGCGCTGTATGCTATGCTTAGCATTGTAAAATTTTCCAGTGCGCTCATGCTGTCGAGTTTGGTCATCTGAATTACAAATAAACTATAGTTGTATAGAACTTTGAAAGTCCCCGGCAATTACTAGTGAAAGGTGGATGCACACAATTCTTGCATCAAAGGGCACGAACTCCAGACTGACATGATGAGTCAAACTGCCTGTGACCTTGCCTTTGAAGAACATTGTCAAGGGCATAAGCGAGGCTATTCAGTAATGGGGGTTGATCAACTGATGCGATTTGGTTGTCCGAGTGGGGCCCCTTCAGACTTCATAAATTGTATAATACAGATGATTTCTTTACAGGACTGGTCCATGTAATGTATGTACAGTTGTATGGGTGCCCACAGTGTCACCTATACTGCTATCCTCCAAGATTGAAGATGCATTCAATCCTCGATACAATAAAGCCAGATATAACGAAATATCAGCTATAAGGAAATAAATGAATAATATTCCTGCAATAGATACAGTGTTACAAATAACCTTTACAATGATTTTTTTGGATATTACAAACTTATTTTCTTGTAAGATGGAACTCCGTTATAATTAGGTTAGAATGTATAATGTAGCCTAGAATACCACACTCCCCAACTGAGATTTGGCGTGGGTTTTCACCAATCACCAGCTAAAGGAACGACGAGATTTCTTTTTGCTAGCTGCACCAACATGTCTATATACAATCAACTCACTTCAGCCACGTACTCCTTTAAGCATAGCATAAAGTCTTATGGTATACATTATCAGTGCAAAGAATACGTAGTGTCAACATTCATATTTAATTTTTATTTTTTACCTTATTTCTTAATATTTTCTATAGTTAATACAAATAAAACTTTCACTTTCAACAAATATAGCTTTGCAGTTCCATTTATTCTTTCACTCAATATTAAAACCAAAGATCTGAGTTTTTACCATTCTAGACCTCAGAGATCGCACGCTGACAGAAGGTGCGAAGTCTTGGAGGCCATCACACAGTGTACTCGGCAGCACGGATTTTCAAGTGTTTCAGTTTTGTGCCTGTCCACAAAAATGATATCAGACGCATGTACATTTTTGTGAGCAGTAACCGTAACTATACAGAGTATTAGCATAATTTGACTACTTCACAAAGCACTCTCCGATTCTCTGTTGCCAGTTTAACATCCCATGACAGCACATGCATAAGCGTAACAAAGGTACACTAATGTGAATGGGGCAAGCAATATATATGGGGAATAGTTGAACTTCTCATTGCTACGTATGCTTAATTATTATGTGCATACGTATCAAATATTCGTGGTGAGAATAATATACACAGCATCCTCTTACACTTTTTCAAAGGTATCAAATGTGTCGCATCATTTCGTTATTCTCATACATTTTCGCAATATCCATACTGACCTCGATACCACGCGGGAGACAGGTTCACAGCGGTATTGTAAACGTACTGTAAATGTGAGGTGGCAAATAAGTTTCAACAAGGTACCTGGTTTAGATTGCTGCATGAAACAATTCAGAGAGGCAAAGGCTCGTGCTTCCGACTCACCGGTGAGAATAAGGTAGGTCTGCACTTTGCTGGACACCTGGCTATCCCGCGACGAGCTGGCCGGATCCATGTTCGACTTCCTCCGGTAGGCAGAAAAATCCGGCACCTTGATATCCGTGTGGGCCATTCGTACTTGGGCTGGGGCTATATTAATGAAATAAAAACCACGAGCCATACAGCACACGACAATCGAAACTGCCTATCAAGACGATAGTTATAGCGCGAGAACAAAACGACGACAGAGACAAGAAGGACACGAAAGACACCGCGCTATAACTATCGTCATGCCATACCAACTAGCCCAAGCTGCCACACTTCTAAATGCCTATCAAGGTCATGAACACGGAGATCACGATTCAATTAACCCATGCAAATAAGCTCCCCTGGGCACTAAAAACTTCGAGCAAAGTACGGTTATTTTGTGAATGGAAACCGTTTCAAAACTAACCTGTAAAGCTTCCAGAGCAAGCAAGCAGTTCTCTCGTTGGCAAAGACTTCGCAAGGGCATAGTGCGAGAGCTTAGCAGGCGACGGCGGCACCTTCACTTCTTTTTTTACCTCAACGACCGGACTAATCGGCTGGACTTGAGACGCTACAGCTTTCGATGAAGCCTTTACATAACTAGCAAGACTACTCGCGCGTCCTTTAACGCAGATCATCTTTTTTTGAAGCACCGAACCCGGCGACAGCACTGAATGACCCACCAGCCAGTTCACCGGAAAGGGTGCTGGACACTGGAGTCGACCGGAGCGCTCATTCCGGAAAAGCGCGAATCCTATCTAGCCAAAATGTATACAAAATTAGCCTGTAATCATTATAACTCTAAATCCAAGATAAAATGAAGACTGTGAAAATTATGAGGCATTGTTTTCCTTTTTACTAATATTTGGTTGATGAATGCTCCTTCTTCTCAACGAGGTTTCGTATTCCGTGGTGGGCTACCCCGCCATGAAGCCGGCAAGCCATGGCGGAAGCCGTGCGGCAAGCAGCCCATTGGCGATAGACGACATTGTAGGTGCTCAGTGGGCGGTGTCTTGTCCGTAGCAGTCGAAACCTTGGTCTAAACTCTCTCGCTTGACGCCGGTACTCTGTATCACCAGTAGGGCGCTTTTCAGGTAACGGAAGCGTTAGTTTATCCTTCTGATGCTTAGTTTGTTTACTGTGTGATAATATACGTCGGCATCTTTTTCACTTCCTGCGTGCGTGCAGCCAAGTTTCACAACATGGCATCAGGGGAGGATGGTTCAAAGAGAAAAGTGGCGTTGATTTCGGGAATTACTGGACAGGTGAGTGAGCTGTCATCATTCAGTTTGTCGCGGCTATCTTTCTTGCGGTGTTCTGTCTCCATTTCGTCGGCCCACTGCTCGCGAATACGTGGCAAACGAACGCGGAACACTTGCTGCTCGCGTCAGTAGCCACGTAGAGAGTTGAACATTCTCAACGCTGAAACTATTGCACATAGCTATTAAATATAAAGAATGTGTAGTCGTTGTTGAATACTTGCAAGCAAGCAGTTGCATGTTTTCCTCTTGGTGGCATTTGGTAATTAAAAAAAATTGGTAAGTCGGCTCTCCTGCATGCTTTATTAAACCGAAAACTCCATCCCATTGACCTTTTTTTTTTCGCTCTTTATGCTTCCCTTCTCCCACCAGCCCTATTTTAGTGAAGTTAAGCGAACCCTGCAAATGATTTGAACACACGCAAACACACACAATGCAATTGTCTAGTTGGTTGCCACAGCATTGTTGCCTAGGCATGGTATCCAAGAACCTGTCATTCGAGGCATGGTACCAGTATTTATGCTGTACATTTGCAATCTTTCTGAGTGAGCATGGGAGCGCGTAACTTTCGAAGCTGCAAGCGCAGTTAAGCGGTGGCAGCGAAAAGCATTAGTAGTGATTATACGGTATGCGATAATTCTGCCGTCGCACGCATTGCGTCAGGCGAGCGAGCGCGTGTCGTCTGCTCTACGGGTACTGCAGTAAAAAGGCTGGGCGCTACAAAGCGGTAACAGTGTTGAACTTGAAAGTAGGTTATCTTTTGCTGGCGTTCGCAAGCTTATCCTGGACCTGTATCGAGGCGGTTTTACCGGCGCGCATTTTTTTTTTTTTTTAAGCATGAAGGTCAGGTGCCGGTGCACACTGGATAACTCGTGAAAGAGCGCATGAAAAAACTTGTAGGATTGCTCTGCTTCTGTAACTGCTATGAACATTTAAGAAAATGTATGAAAAAAAAAAAACGTTGCTTAAAGTCTAGGTACTAGATAGTGGAGAGGGGGAGCGGTGGAGGGGGTGCCGCCCGTCTCGACTCTCTCCTCTGCGCGCCGGAAGAGTGAGTAGAGTCCGGCCGTGGGTGGGGCGAACCCCCCTCCCCCGTCAGCGAGTTTACAAAGGCGAGCGGATAGACCCCCCCCCCCACAATGCACCTTCCAACATTGGTTTATACACCACATATTGCCTTTCTTGTCTCTGTGTCGTCGTTTTGTTCTCGCGCTATAACCGAGGGGAGACCCGCTCAAGTTTGCCCGGCGACGCCAGCGCTTGCCTTTCCCCTGCCAGAAAAAGCGCACAACAGTAGAGCCTTCCGACCCTTCCGCTCCCTTTGGCTTCCACGCATTTGCGAAGCACGCGATGCACGTGAAACGTCCCTCGTTCCGCGATGTCACCCCAACGGGGTGACATCGCGGAACGAGGGACGTTTCCCATTCATCGTTTCCCATTCATCGTATCAACCGCCTACGATGAATGGGAAGACGGCGCTATCAAGTAGTTGGTGCTACCAAGGTGCTACAGAAACGCTGTGCGCACGCCTGTGTCGACGCTGCCGCAAGACTCGTCGCTCCGTTTGCAACGATGGTCGAAAGCATCGAAGTCGGCGCAGATTTGCAGTGAAAAATGGATAATGACGGTTCGAAGAGTTAATGTGCGGACAATAATCGTAATTGTATACAGCAGCGACGAGAGCCTTCAAAATACTTTTCAACTGTATGTCAAAATGCCTCAGCAACTCCATTATTCAAGTTAAAACTCTGTTGCCAGCTTTTAAGTAAAATTTCAGCGTAAAATCTAAACAATTTTGAACCATACACCATGCATTCAGCTAAAGATTTATTGGAACAGGCAAAATTATCACAACATATACCCTGGCACAGAGAGCATGTAAAAATCAAGTGTTGAAAGCTGTATCTGTAAGAACAATTTACGTGGACAAGAGACTTACTGGCATGTGTTTTTATTCGTGAAGTTAAATGCACTCATAGTCCCTAACTTCAATGATGAAAACAGGAAAGGATTAATGTGATGCAGTTCAACCACAGTAAAAACAGAGTGAAAGTGGCGTTTGCAGCAAAAATGCTTTATCTGGTAATAGTTATAGAATCAATAGTGCTGCCAATACTTGGGCTGCATTTATTGTGGTAGTTCAGGGATTAGAAAATAAACCTTCAGCTGATCCCATGTTTTGCTGCTTCAGGGTTGGCCCATCGGGGCCAATTATTTTTTAAATTTTGGGTATTTTGTGTATGTATAATTAAATTTGTCTAGAAAATGCTAGTTGGTTTGTTATTTGAATATTTGCGCACCCCTTGTAGTGTTGTTGCTATCATTGACCCACCATCTTTGTGTGTATGTGATTGGGAATCTGTAAACATCACGAGTGCTTTTTTTTTGTCCTGTATCCCATCTCTCATTGAACACACTCTTGCACATGTCTCAAAGTATGTAAATGGAAAAAAGAAAATGCACTTGGCTACAAGTGATGCCGATTCGTGACATGCAATGCAAGTAAAAACAAAAGTGTATTTGGTGAAAGTTGCTCTTAATCTTGCCGTCCATGCAAGGAGGATCAGTTTATTGCACATCTTTTTTACTCTTAGCTTACATCAGTTAAGTAAGCATAAGCCTGTTCATAGGAACTTACTTGTTTATTATTGCATCATTTGTGCAATAATGATAAAAACACAAGGTCAGACAGCACAAATAACTCTGCTGAGATAGGAATAAAGTTAACTAAGCAAACTACAAAAAAGTACATTTTAATATTCAGCACATGCCAGACAGAAAATGCAGCGAGTGCCAATACATTGGCAAACTTCTTGCCGAAATCACAAGTGGCAACCTGGATAAATTATAATTGTTAATATCAATAAAATTATTTTTTGAGAAGCTTTGGAAGCATCCATTTTCTGGCTCAAGTGGAGTCAAATGCTTACTTACTCTGAGTGTTTTATTTGCAAAACAATAATAAAAACAAATTTAAAACCTCACATCAACGTTTCAATGTTGTTTTGAAATAAAAAAAAGAAAATGCCATATGTTAATTGTTTTTGCCAGAGAATTCTGGATATGAGAAGATTAAGGCTGTCATAAGATGTGTTGAAAATTTAAAAAATTACTTGCCACTGTAAACTGCTTGGGGAATGGGAAGTTCACGTAAATTGTTATTACAGGTATGTGAATTGCTTTATATATTTCTCACAGCAATAACACATGCAGCACAACATGCCATATTCAGATGTTTTTTTTTTTTGGTCTTTCAGGATAAAAATATCTTTTCACTTAGGATAAATTTAGCAAATAATTGACAAGCCTGACAACTAAGTACATGCGTATTGCCACGTGTGTTTTATTTTGATAAAGTCGGGTTTCTCCCACAAAGACTCTAAGCAACACTCGGCGCAGCAGTTTTTCAGGAGCTCCGTGATAACTTGAGATCACACTGTTAAGTTTGTGGACAGGACGCGAATAGTCTAGTGCTTACGCAGCCACCAGCAATAACCCCCAGAATTTTCAATAGCACTTGTATAAAAGCAGATGCACTGTACTGCTTGTCAGAATATTGATGGCCAACGCACTGTTTAGCGCTATTAGGGCAGACTATGTATTGCTTGTAGTTTGGCTTTCCATACTTCTGGCAAAGTTTTGCTAAAATAAAAAGTTTGGTCTCAACCCCGCCGACTACTGCAGTCTTCAACGTCATGGCCACGTGACAATATTAGTTTTTATGTCTCTCCAAGAGGTGTTTACATCTATAAATCCAGAAAGTTGAAATTTCATTTTTTAGAAATGGGCAGATGTACAACTGCAAAATTATGAAGTCTACTACTGACAGCTACCTTTTTTGTTTTATTGTGAATTCGTTTGGTGAAGCAGAGCAGTACACAAGTGCCGCTATTGATGGAGACTATGTGACAAAGCCCATTGATCCTTAAAGCAGCTTCCATTTCAAGCTGTCTAGCATGGTGTACGAGTGAAGGTTTCTAAATGAATTTCTAAATGAGGCAATTGTTGCGGATGATTGCGACCGCGCGACAACAAGCAAGAGAACCAAAGAGAAAGAAAAATGGGAGGGCATGAGCGGTAAAAGTAAACATGGACGTTCTTGGTGTAGGGCTCTGGTCTTGAATACGCGACAGCAATGACGTGCTGGTCACAATGGCCTGCTTGTGGTCCCCCATTTTCTCAGATTAGCAATGAGATGTAAAGAGCTCTTATAATTGCACAGCAAAAGTCCTTGGGCACCATTATTATTAAAAAACTGGTGCATACCTAATGGTTTACGAATTCACACAAATAAAACATGGTTAATTATCTTCCATTTGAGGCATAATGCTCTTTCACCTACCCCGGCTATTACTATCAAGAGCCACAGATATCTTTGTTCCACTAAGTTCACATTCTTGGGAGTACTCCTAGATGCTCATCTAAAGTGCTATCATCACATTTCACTTACAAGACAGAGAATAGCTCATGGAATCGGAACATTAATTAAAGAATGACCATGCTTCAACTTTGCTTAAGCTATACTACGCAATTATGCACAGTCATATTACCTACTGCATCACATCATGGGCAAACACATATCCATCTCATATCCTCCCACTTCGTCGCCAAAACCAAGCCATTCGCATCCCAACATTCAGTACTCTATTCACCAGCGTGCCCCCGCCTCTCCAGCAACATAGTGTACTAACAGTGTGTAATTTGTTCAAACATACACTGAGGATTCTTGTATTTAAGTGTTTTAATGCTTTCATAACAGCCAATGTCTTGCAAAAATTTCAATTGTTAAACGCTAATCCGACCAGGTTCACCTCTAACAACAGTTTTTTACTACCACATACATGCACTAACTAGGGCAAACACACTACCATATTTGCTGGCATACAACATTGGAATTCAATACCACTATGCACTAAACAATTGTCATTGAATACTTTTAAGTAGATTTGAAATGTCTGGTAAATCATTAATGAAGTCCCTTTTGTTCAATATTTTACCACCATCTT